CGAAAACCTAAAAAATTTGTGTATCAGGAGCTTACAGCAGGTTTTTTCGATATTTGACTAACCTTAATTTTCAAATAAAGACGGTGAACACCTGAAATTTTGTAGGGTGATAGTTTTTCACCCAAATAATCCATTATTGCAGTTGTTTTTGACTGACTTTTTACAGTTTTTGAGTTATAGTACCTTAAAGTTGCTAAATATTGCAACATAAATATTTTTTTAAACTTTTATGTGTTACAGTTTATTACTTAAAAAAAGGGAATTTTACCTTTACTTAGGGTTACCACTTGTTAGAATAATCGAAATTATGCATTAAAGATTAATTTAGCACATGGAGCAGCCTATTAAAAATCTTTTTTTTTTAAATTATGATAAATTACATTATTATTTTTTTTTAAATTATGATAAATTACGAACAGTTGAAATAAATTATGAAATTTTATAACGCTGAGGTTCTATATATATACAATCACCAAAAAAAATTTAAAGACCTATACTCTATCTTATGACATGATTGTAGCCTTTTGAGAGTGATGATATTTTCAAAAGGAGAACAAAAAAATACCACTTACCACATACAAAATTTATACCTCAAATTTTAAACCAACTATACAGTAAAAAAGCGCATTCAAAGAGTAAGATAATCAGTTAAAAGAAAAAGTAAACATGAAACTAATTAGCTTATTTCTGATTTATATAACTTATAATATAGCCATAGCCATTACTAGCAAGAATATAGTCACGAGCACTTATACTTTTAATTAATGGAACATTTATTTGACATATTATCTTGTCAAATGGAACCCAACACTGACTCGATTGTGCATCGTTAGTCCAATTTAAATTTAATTTGTTTCTTTGCATAAACTTCACATTAACGCCTTGGTTTTCATTACAAATATCAACCACAAGCCCTATGTACCATTCTTCATTGTAAAAGCATGCATTATATTTACAGGGTTGAAAATTTAAAGGATTTTTTAAAAATCAAATTAACATCATTTAACACATGAGTATTATAGACTAGAGATTCTTCATAAAAACAATTTCTTTCCATCTGGTACAAAACAGTGATAGCTTCTTGTTCCCGAAACTGTGCGCATCCCTTCATATCGTTTCTGAAGATTAAAAGTTGTTTCATGGTTATTGATATCATCACTTAAAAGATAAAATATGTTAACACCTTTGATGTTTTTTTGAGCCTATGTAAACAGATCTTGTGGTGCGAGAATCTGATTTGTAATTGCTGCTCGTAGACTAGCTTTTGCTGCTTCTCTTTTTATAGTACCTCCTATGCCATCACATGAACTTTTGACATGTGACGTAGCAAAGAAGTAATGCTCATTATTTATTTGGTGATCTATAATATGACAAATTAAGTTTAATAGCTATTTGTAGTTTTTATACTGCAACGCAGCACCATCACTTTAACTTTATTCACTGTGGGTAGTTTGATTTTGACCATAAGGAGCAACTTTGTGAGAAAACAATGGACTGCTGATTGGTCATGATCATTCTTTTCAAACACATTTTCCAAGTAAGTCTTCGAATTTATTTTACCAGTGCAGTTGAAACATAGATGAAACATGCAGTTTCGACTATTTATATTACAAACACATACTTTCATTAAGTTTTTTTAATATATTAAATGGCTGTTAGGAAGAGCAGAGCACATCAACTTAGCATTTTGATGGTAAGAACATACACAAACTGAGTGGCTTCCACTAATATTAACAGTAAGGCACCACTTTGGCTTTAGGTCACAGAACTTACTGAATCCAACTTTGTGTTCAGGGTATAACTTCTTTAATTCCAAATGAAGTTCTTTTAAACAAATTTAATATTAAGCGTTTTTGTTTATGAACTTTAACATTATTTATACGCGCAGAAACAAAGTCTTTTTTTCCTGGACATTGTCTAGTGTATTCGTCAGATTCATATATTTCAATGACTTTCTGCTTAACAATATCCTCCAAAGGATGTCCTTTTTTAGCTTCAAGTTTAGCAAGAATTCCCTTTTCATTTTTCAGCTTTCTGGCTTACTTAGCAAGATAGTCTGAAACTGAAAATGCATTGCAAGTGTTTTTTAATTGACCAACTATTAGGAGTTAATGTTAGTAACTGAACTTTTTCTTCATTCAAACTGATTTTTGCTTTTTCCTTTATTGCATTTATAAGTTTGTCTAAATCATTACAGATAATGCACTCTTGCTTTTTCTCAGATATTATTTCTTTGGGTCTATATTGAATGCTGATGCTACTAGGTTTGTCATACTTGTTTCCAGTTTTTTTAACTTTTTGTTTTCCATATTCTAATTTGTCACATTTACTTAGATTTTTTAGAGAAGATATTTCCAGTAAAGAAGTACTCTTATTTAAAACTGCCTTATTTAGGTCTGAAGAACTAAACTCCTCTTCACCAACATCTTTGTCTTCATCTTCTTGACTAAATTTTCCTGTAATCTGTTCATGTTTGAATTCATTCAAACAGTTAGTGCAAAGTTTTTGACCAGGTTTGATCTTAAGTTGACTTGCTGTTAAAATATCAACTTTACGACTCAACAATTTTTTTCTTGTAGACTTTAAACAGATCACAGCAGTATTTTTGAAGCGCTTCATATCTAGAAATGTAGACTTTTTCATGGTGAAAACATATCTCCTCATTTAATTCAAAAGTGTGTCCAAATCTTTGATTTAAAACTTCAACATCTGTGTTCACAATATCTTTTAGTTTTATTCTTCCAATCTTTCTACAATAATACGTTTTATCGTAATCTTCATTTAAAACTTTCCCACACAGCATTTCTCTGTCATTTTTTACTATTTTTTTATTTCTTTTACTATCTAAAAAGTAAAATCTAAAATGTTTAAAAAAGACATAAACATATTAAATCTCAAAGAAACTAACAAATATCACACACTGATTATGACACTGATTATGTCATTATTATTAGTACAAATTAAGACATTATGTCATTAAAAAGAAAACTGAATATATTCATTCAGAGATAAATAAAAAATATACTACTGTCATCCCTAATTATTAAGTTATCAAAACTAATCATTAGACTATGACCTAAGACTAGCTCATAGTCTAATAACATTCTCCTTTTGAAAATATCATCACTCTCAAAAGGCTACAATCATGTCATAAGATAGAGTATCGGTCTTTAAATTGTTTTTGGTGATTATCTATATATAGAACTTCAACATTATAAAGTTTCATAATTTATTTTAACTGTTTACGCTACTTTCTATGCCAGCAAAGTCAGTATAATTTATCATAATTAAAAAAAAGTGATTTTCAATAGGCTGCTGCATGTGTTAAATTATTTTTTAATGCATAATTTTGATTATTCTAACAAGCGGTGACCCTAAGTACACAAAGGTAACAAAAAAATCCACTTTTTGTAAGTAATAAACTGTAACACATTAAAGTTTGAAAAAATATAGGCCTACACTCATCTTTATTTCAAGCAAGGGTGCCACAAGGTATCTTGTGGTACCCTTAAATCTTTGCTCCTGAATTGTTTTTTATCTACAATATCAATCTTCATAATAAACTAATATCTAAAGTGACTCTATTTGTTGACAACTCAACTTTATACTCTTGTCTTAGAAAAAAATGTTAACTTTTTGATTGCTTAGAACAAGCAGCTGATTTATAATCTGATTTCTCTTCTGTAACAGCCTAAGGCTTGCTGTGGCTTATAGATTTAAATTCTGGACTTAAAATCTGCAGTTTTTCTTAGACAACAAAACTCATTTATTTACTACAAAAGAATATTGCAATAATGTTGGTATTCCTATATTGATGAATAACAACCCTCTTACTATCAGACAAAGTCTAAAAGCACATTTTTAATGTAATGCGGTTATGGTGCAGTGGTAGAGTGCTGGCGTCATAAGAGAGAGGTACCAAGTGCGATCCCCTGGTAGTACTGCGCTTAACATGTTTCTCTGTACAGAGAAACACGTTGAGCGCAATACTACAAGTTGCATCTTTTTACTGTATCTGTCCCTTATATATGTCATTATTTAATAAATAGTAAATGTAAGCATAAAATTATAATATACAAAGTATCATAAATTTTTTTTCTAGCCCTAAGAGAGAATATTTTTACTAGAATTTTAGAATGCTGTCCATAGAGAAAATATTTTTGTTTTAAAAATAGGAAGACTAAAAAAAGCATCAAAAACAATCTCAAATTAAAATAATTAAACAACAATAACAAAAAATTAAACAACAAGCAAAATTAAGCAACAAACGAAAACATTAGTGTTACTTGATTTTTCTAGATTTTTTTTGATTAATTGGTAAAAAAAAAATTGAAATAAATAAAACTAAATGCAATATTAAAGTGCCTTTTTTTAAACCATTTATCTATTTAGTATTGTATAACTGGTTTTTAAAAAAAAACGGTTTTCGGTTTCAAGAAAACTGAACAAAAACGGTTGCAGTTTTTACCAGTTGCCAAGCCCTAGTAATGAGGGAAAAAGCTTAAAAAACAAGTATATTACAAAATATATACCTAAACTTGTATCTATGAAAAATATTTCTGATATCCGAAAAAAACTAAAAGTTAAGATAAATATCCAGAATTCAGGAAATATCCGGAAAAAGATAACTTTATATATATTTTGTTTTTTCAGCAATTGTTTTTTCAACAATCAAAAGTTTGAAATTGTTTTTTCAGCAGTCAAAAGTTGGAAAATTTTGGATAAAAACTTACTAGTACAGATGTTGATATTATTTTAAATAAAGTTAAAAGGTATCATAATTTTACATAACAGTTAAAATGTTACATTAAATTTTAATTATAATGATCCTAATGTTTCAACAATAAGAAAACTCTTATAGACATATTTCATTTATTAGAACAAAAAAAAAAAAGCGCAAAGATTTAATAAAACTTAGAAAATTGTAAGATTATACACAAAGTTCAAAAAAAACTTGTACAAAGTTTGTAAAAATGCAAATATTAAAAAAAAGATCTCACCAACACAGGTTTTATTGCTAATGCATGATATTGTTTCAGTATTGTTTCCAAAACAATCATACAAACTCTTTGTACTGTTGCAAATACGTGATCTATTCATAACACTTACTCCACACGATGGCGCACATTCTGACCAACTACTCCATGGCATCCAAATACCTTATCAAAAATTGTAAAATTTTAGTAGCCAAAAGTAAAAATAAAATGATTAATATAAAAATATAATTTTCCATATTAAGACTTTTTAACTAGTAACCAGGAGTAAAAAAAAAAATAAACATGGTTCAACTTGAACTGAAACCTTTTTTAAATAATTTATTAAGTTTAAATTTTACATCCATTACATCTAAACACTTAAGTAAAAAATTTAGCCTGTAAACAAATGTTTTGTAATTTAATTTTTACTAACCTAAACATGTTATATTGCTAATACAAAATGCTGTCTCAGTAATGTTGCCAGTGCAATTGAACACAGTATTTTTAGTATTGCAAATAAGTGATCTGTTCATGAGACTTAATCCACATGAAGGCATGCATTCAGACCAAATACTCCATTCTGTCCATACATCTAATAAGTAAAAACATCAAAACATCCTCTACCTAATAAATACAACTAAAAATTTGTTTCATTATAAGTTTATTAGCATAGTTGTTAGAAGAATACTTCTGTTAAAAAATATTTTGTTTAAAAAAGCTTATATTTCAACTTTTCAATTTGCATTATACTGCTGATTCCTATTGTAAAACTGTTTTTCTGATAAAGAAAAAAAAAAGTACAACAGTACAATATCATTAGCTATTATAAATGCTTTTTATGCAAAAATAATGATAAATAAATAACTATCATATTATCCATTACAAGTGTGGTATTGCATATAAGTGTCAAAACTAGGCGAAACATGTATTGTTCGTTTTGATAATAGCCTAATAGATAATTATCCATTATCTATTAGGCTGGTGTAGATGTATTTATAATACATTTCTTTTAATAGTGAATGCTGGACCTTCCTGACTAAATACATGGGTTATGCTAGTATCTCTGTTTTTATGACTAAGCAATTCATTCTATTGAATAAAAAATTAAAAACTAAAAAAGTTACAGCTCTAAAACACAGTTTTGAGGTTTTGAGGCTTACTAGCAGTCAGTTTTTCAGAACTCTTAGGTAGTTCTAAGAGAGACTGATTCATCAATAGCTGTAAAATATCAGAGTACTAACAGTGCCTTGTTGTGCATAGATTGTGTACATGTTTGTACTTTTGATGCACACCAAATTATTGAGGCCACATTCGGAGACCTTTGTTACAGCTTAGGTTAAATTAATGGTAATGAGATAATTACTTGTACTATTAAATAGTGTACTGAGTAATATCTGTGCATTGAATCAAGTTTAACAAATCCAAAAATGACTAAAGTACCAAAAACTATAAAACATAAAAAAAACCATCGTCATTACTAGTTCTCTAAATCTGTAATTTATTCCTTTTATTCCCTCTTGACAAACCTTACTCTTTTCTATAGTTTTGCCCTCTCATTGTGCTGCTTCAATTTCCAATCATAATTATTGCTATTTATCACTAAAACAATTCTCAAGAAAACGGACATCTGTTTAATATTGCTAGAAACTAATTTAGAAAGTTTTTGTCTAACGCCAAAGCCCACTATTTTCAGGCCACAAAATCTTGTATTTCATGTCAAAAATTAGGCTCCCAAGACTTTTGGAAAATGTTCAATAGTGTCTATAACAATGGCAAATCTGTTATTTCACATCTCTTGCATGGTTTCGGATTTTGTTACCTCACCTAAAGACTGAATTGTTTGTTAAGAACTTTTCAATCTCATCCCTTGATCCAACTAATCATGAGGAGGGGGAAAGGTCATAGTGGGTGAAAAATTCTCTTGAATAAAATTTAATTTAGCTTGGTACAAAACTTCATATAAAACTATTTGAAAATATTAACATAGTTAAATATTATAACAGTTATATATAAGAAGTATATTTGGGATTATTTTATGGGAAAAACACACTATAAAAAAGTTTTAAGGAGTTTATATATAATTTTTTTTTTTTAAAACAATATTTTATTTTGTTAAAAAAAACTACAATAAAAAAAACTTAAAAATGTGAGCATAACTGATTATTAAAAGTATTTAAATTGATTTGTTTGGTTTTTAATATATAGTTTTTGGCCAAGTTTTGTGGTGCTGATAAAAAACAAAACAAATAACAAAAAAACAGCAAATTTCTTGAGGAAGAATAAAAAAGTCTTTATCAAAAGTTCATAACACTAATTTGTAAGATAAGATTGATCATAAGGTTTGTTTGAAGATTTTTATTGGATGTCATAAATATATGTTCAAGTCAATATGTGAAAAGTCTATTTTCTGTATTGTTATACAAACTGTAATAAAACGTATGTACATTTTGATAATACATATTAATGTTTAATATTGAAATATAAAATAATTTTTATGTGTATTTTTTTGTTTATAATGAAAATTTATATAATTTATAGCTTAAAATGCAACTAAGATAAAATAATAATAATTATTGATAACTAAATATAATAATCCACAATAATTTTTTAATCAACCAACAATATAAATTGTTGATATAGTTTCCTGAACAGCTTACACAATGGTTTATGTAAACAAATCAGTTTTTTTTTAAATATTTTCACTTCCAACAAGGCAGCAAGCAATCAATATTAAATTTTGAAGTTACTCAAAGAGAATAGATAAAGTTTATAAAGCAAGATAACGATTAACTGACAATATAAAAGATTTCAAATTATATGAATCAGAAAAAAAAGATGAAGAAAGGGAACTCAAAGTAACTGATGTTTGAGGAAAAAATTGATATAAATAAGAATTTTCAAAACAATTCACAGTAAAAAAGTGAAAAAAGTCACAGTAAAAGAATGAGATATAATTGAATGATGTAACACAAGAATGTTTTACAAAAGAATATTTTTATACAAGAAATAGAATGAAGTAACACAAGAATAAACTTTAGATGGCACAATAGATGCTAGCTTTTCAGAGCAGCGCCCATTATAGTATATATAGAAAAGAAAAGCAACACTATGACGATGTGGCAATAGTTAAAGGTTGGCTGCAAGAGCAGATCCAACTATGTTTATGATGCATTTCTGCACCTTGTTTAAAAGAGAAAAAGCTTCATTCCAAGATCGGTTTCAGATATGACAGCAGTATTTGGTACAAGGACAAATTTGATATTTATAGAGATAAAGAATAGAATCCATAATAAGAAAGTGGCACAATAAAGAGAGGTAACCTTGGCAGATGTTAACTTTGCAATGTATTTTATATATGGTTTCCAAGGAAAATTGGGAGAAAGAGATAATCCTAGAAGGGTAGATGACTCATTGAATACACTACTGTTCATAAATATAGGAAGATATAAACTGTTGCAATAACCTTTAGCTGAAAAAATTAAGTCTTATCTGTGTTAAAGTTCACCAGTCACTGAAAACCCTATACTGCAGTAGAAGTGAGATCCTTTTTGAGCTCAAATGCCCCATCCATCAATAAAAGAGTATTCGCTTTTTATCAAGACTATATAAATGGTAGAATCAAAATGGTGGCAAACTATGCCACCTTGGATGTGAGAATTTTTGGAAGACCATTAATGTAAATCAAAAAGTATAGAGCCAAATATAACTTTAAAAAACCCCTAAAGTTACAGAAAATAAAAAATTGTGCTGTTTATCGAGGACAACTTCTTATACTAAGATTAATAGAGAAGGATTCAATAGTATTAAATATGTTACCTGGTACACCGTAAAAAAAAGGTTTAAGAGTATCAAAGTTTTAGAAATAAATAAATGTTTAGAGAAATAACCCTAAATCTAATACACAATAAAAGCTATCAGTTATTACCGTTAACAAATCAGAAGTAGAATCACGTAAAAGATCAAAACTGATATTGATGATCATAAAGTAAGTTATTGAGTGTTTATTAATAAAAGACTTTAAAACTTATGATAGGCTTATTAGAGTAAGCTTATGATAGTAAGTAAACTAATGAAATGACAGTTAGATAAATCAGATTGCTCTCCAGAATTTTTGAAAATGGGGATAACAGAGGGGGCTTTTCAGCAAGCTGGAAAATAAGCATTTGTTTAATAGTTTTTAAAGTATTGTTGACAGCTCCGGAGAGCACTTCTGCATGACTATAACAAATAAGTTGTCCAGACCACAAGCCGCAGAAGAGACTAAGCAGAAAATCACTTAAGGCACAGAAGCTGGAGTGATAAGAATGTCAAGTAATAGATCAATTTGTTTGTCGGCAATATCAGGTAAGATGTAATTGGTGGAATCAAGAAATGAGATTAATGAAAAATTCTTAGCAAACAATTCAGATTTGTATTTGTATAATCTGAACCATGCAATCGAGGTGGAATAACAAATTTCCCTTTAGTATAGACACTGTTAAAGATTCTCTAGAAGTCTTGGGAGACTTTTGAGATAAAATCTGATATTTTGTGACCTGAGAATTAGCAGGCTTTAGCGTTAAACAAAATCTTTTTACAATAATTTCTAGCTATAGTAAACAGATGTCAGTTTTCTGGAGAATTATTTTAATGATAGATATGAAAGTAATGGTTACAATTGAAAATTAAGTACAATAAGGGGAAAACCATAGAGAAGAGTGAAGTTTTACTTGGAATCATAGAAAGAGAATATAAGATTCCAACCCAGTTTGAATCCAAGAAGTTACATATAAAGCACATTTGTCAGCAGTTACACAAAAAATTTCTACGCAAAGTCCATCACAAAGAAAAAGAGTCTCACTCAGCTTCAAGGTAGTTCTGAAAAGTATGATGATAGGGGAATTCTGATACTGAAGAAGAATGATATATTAGTTTAAGAGAGATCAAACTGTGATCAGAAGCACATAAGAGTAAATGTGGAGAAATTGAGCCCTGATTATGATCAGAAACAAGACATAAGTTGAGTAAAGAAGATTAATGATTCAGATTGCATGGAAAGCAAGTGGGAAGGTTTGACTATTTATGTTCGATATTGAGAAAGGCAAAAGTTGTGGGGTTTAACGCCTGCATAGTTACTGACACTAGACCAAAACCATTCAGTGTGTCTAGCATTTAAGTCAAACAATTGTCTGTGGATATAAACCTAGTTTCCTGACAAATAAGTGAATTCTTACAAAAGCATGTGACTATTGGAGTACGAACTAAAGTAAGTTAGCCATCAACACTAAGATCACAAGATGAGACAGCTTAACACAAATTAGTCTCACAAGAAGCAAGTAGGTCTGGTGAACTTTGCAAGACACAACAGAAAAAAAAGTTACTTCAAAGACCACAAATATTTGTGAATGATACGTTTAGAAAATTTGGTGATAATGACAGTTTTTCGTGTTTTAAAGTTTTTGATATTTCTTACTCATTTTTGGATTTGTTAAAGAAATTGACTTGAAGCACAGATAGTACTCAGTACACTATTTAATAGTCAAAGCATTTGGCTTTTAACTAATAATAAACCTTGAGCCGTTGAACAAAGGACTCACAATGCAGTCTTGATAATGCACACCATAAGTACAAACAGAGACACCACTCAAGTGAAACGTGGCTCTGTTAGTACTCTGATATTTTACAACTTTTAGAGCTACCAAATAGTTCAGGAAACCTGACTACAAGCCAGCCTTTAAACCATAAAACTAAGCTTTATAGCTGAACCATCATTAGTAGATAATCAAAGGAGTTGCCTAATCATAAAAACAGAGACACAAGCAAAATCCGTGCAATGAGTTAAGAATATGCAGCACTCAACATCCTAAATTGGAAACAATGTATTGTAAACACATCTATGTTAGCCTAATAGATGAACAAGGGGTGAAAATCTGATCAACAGATAGAATTTGTTTACCTCTAATCCCTCAAAAGTAATCATTCTTAAACTAAAAGTCAAATAAAATTTATTGCTTATCAGTATATTTCTGTGTAAATAACTTACGCACATATTTTGTCTTGAAGCATTATAATACTATTGATTAATTTTAAATTTTTAAACAATTTTTAAATTTTTAAAGAGCAAAAAGAAAAATGAAAAAATTTAATTTGTGCACAGATGTGTCTTACTGCATGTCCTATAAATAGACTGAAGCCCTCATCACATAATGCTTGTTTACTATGTAATGTTACATAATTTAATTTTTACTAACCTAAACATGTTATATTGCTGATACAAGATGCTTTCTCAGTAATGTTGCCAGAGCAATTGAACACAGTATTTGTAGTATTGCAAATAAGTGATCTGCTCATCATACTTATTCCACATGAAGGCAGACATTCAGACCAATTACTCCATTGAGCCCTTACATCTAATAAGTAAAAATATCAACTAACTTTTCTACCTAATAAATATTTGCATTGATTGTATTCAAACACTTAATAAATAACTTGAATTAATCTTCCACTTAACAAATACAACTAAAAATTTATTACAATATAAATTTATAAACTTAACCGTTATCAGAATATTTCTGTGCAAAAAACTAATGCTCATATTTGAAGTTGAAAAAACTATTTCTTAGAAATAGTTGTAGAACTGATTTTTTAATAAAGATTACAAAATCTACAGCAATCATTTTTTTTGTCGTAATAAATGTCCTTTATAAATAATTAATAATAAGTAAATAATAATTATATCATATTTTACACATGTTCCATACTTTATAAATATGACACTATTTTAAATTATTATCTATTACTTTATTAAATTTTTTTTTAACCTAAACATGTTACATTGCTAATACAAGATGCTGTCTCAGTAATGTTGCCAGAGCAATTGAATACAGTGTTTGTAGTATTGCAAATAAGAGATCTGCTCATCAGACTTTCTCCGCATGAAGGTAGGCATTCAGACCAATTACTCCATTGAATCCAAACACCTAAGAAATAATAACTTAAACTGACATTCTACTTAATAAATACAACTAAGAAAATTGTTAAATTATATACTAAATTGAAAAACAACTTTGATATTTGAAAAACAATTTCTCATTTATATTAAATACTATCAATTATGAAAATAATTTAATAAATGTGTGAAAAATTTGTGTTTTGCAGGTAGATCTTAGAATGCCTAATATAATATTTGTTAATGAAATGTATTAAAATAGATGTAAAGTGTTTTGTTATTAAATAATACTTGGATATAAAAAACTTTGAAGCAAAACAAAAAGAATGATTGAAAATAAATATTGATTTAACAAAACTTTTTAGTAGTCATCGAAGTGTTATCAATAAGGCACATGGTACAGATAAAGCAAAATAGTGAAAAAGTTGGAAAATTTTGGATAAAAACTTACTAGTACAGATGTTGATATTATTTTAAATAAAGTTAAAAGGTATCATAATTTTACATAACAGTTAAAATGTTACATTAAATTTTAATTATAATGATCCTAATGTTTCAACAATAAGAAAACTCTTATAGACATATTTCATTTATTAGAACAAAAAAAAAAAAGCGCAAAGATTTAATAAAACTTAGAAAATTGTAAGATTATACACAAAGTTCAAAAAAAACTTGTACAAAGTTTGTAAAAATGCAAATATTAAAAAAAAGATCTCACCAACACAGGTTTTATTGCTAATGCATGATATTGTTTCAGTATTGTTTCCAAAACAATCATACAAACTCTTTGTACTGTTGCAAATACGTGATCTATTCATAACACTTACTCCACACGATGGCGCACATTCTGACCAACTACTCCATGGCATCCAAATACCTTATCAAAAATTGTAAAATTTTAGTAGCCAAAAGTAAAAATAAAATGATTAATATAAAAATATAATTTTCCATATTAAGGATTTTAACTTTTTACTTTTTTAATTTAAACTAACCTAAACATGTTACATTGCTAATACAAGATGCTGTCTCAGTAATGTTGCCACTGCAATTGAATACAGTGTTTGTAGTATTGCAAATAAGAGATCTGTTCATCAGACTTTCTCCGCATGAAGGTAGGCATTCAGACCAATTACTCCATTGAATCCAAACGCCTAAGAAATAATAACTTTAACTGACATTCTACTTAATAAATACAACTAAGAAATTTGTTAAATTATATACTAAATTGAAAACAACTTTGATATTTGAAAAACAATTTCTCATTTATATTAAATGCTATCAATTATGAAAATAATTTAATAAATGTGTGAAAAATTTGTGTTTTGCAGGTTAGAATGCATTATATAATATTTGTTAATGAAATGTGTTAAAATAGATGTAAAGTGTTTTGTTATTAAGTAATACTTGGATATAAAGAATTTTAAAGCTAAACAAAAAGAATGATTGAAAATAAATATTGATTTGAAACTTTTCAGTAGCCATCAAGTGTTATCAATAAAACACATGGTACAGATAAAGTAAAATAGTTAAAAAGCTACACTATTTTTTAATTTTAATTTTTAATCAAATTTAAATTTAAATTTTAATTTTAATTTCACTTAATAGAAGAAAAAAAAAAAAAATGCAAAGATTTTTATATTGTCAATAATTAGCAAAGCTAATTATTGACAATATAAAAATCTTTGAAATCTGTACAAATGCAAATATTAAAAAAAGATCTTACCAACACAATTTTTATTGCTAATGCATGATATTGTTTCAGTATTGTTTCCAAAACAATCATACAAACTCTTTGTACTGTTGCAAATACGTGATCTATTCATAACACTTACTCCACACGATGGCGCACATTCTGACCAACTACTCCATGGCATCCAAATACCTTATCAAAAATTGTAAAATTTTAGTAGCCAAAAGTAAAAATAAAATGATTAATATAAAAATATAATTTTCCATATTAAGGATTTTAACTTTTTACTTTTTTAATTTAAACTAACCTAAACATGTTACATTGCTAATACAAGATGCTGTCTCAGTAATGTTGCCACTGCAATTGAATACAGTGTTTGTAGTATTGCAAATAAGAGATCTGTTCATCAGACTTTCTCCGCATGAAGGTAGGCATTCAGACCAATTACTCCATTGAATCCAAACGCCTAAGAAATAATAACTTTAACTGACATTCTACTTAATAAATACAACTAAGAAATTTGTTAAATTATATACTAAATTGAAAACAACTTTGATATTTGAAAAACAATTTCTCATTTATATTAAATGCTATCAATTATGAAAATAATTTAATAAATGTGTGAAAAATTTGTGTTTTGCAGGTTAGAATGCATTATATAATATTTGTTAATGAAATGTGTTAAAATAGATGTAAAGTGTTTTGTTATTAAGTAATACTTGGATATAAAGAATTTTAAAGCTAAACAAAAAGAATGATTGAAAATAAATATTGATTTGAAACTTTTCAGTAGCCATCAAGTGTTATCAATAAAACACATGGTACAGATAAAGTAAAATAGTTAAAAAGCTACACTATTTTTTAATTTTAATTTTTAATCAAATTTAAATTTAAATTTTAATTTTAATTTCACTTAATAGAAGAAAAAAAAAAAAAAATGCAAAGATTTTTATATTGTCAATAATTAGCAAAGCTAATTATTGTCAATATAAAAATCTTTGAAATCTGTACAAATGCAAATATTAAAAAAAGATCTTACCAACACAATTTTTATTGCTAATGCATGATATTGTTTCAGTATTGTTTCCATAACAATCATAGTAAATCTTTGTACTGTTGCAAATACGTGATCTGTTCATCACACTTACTCCACATGATGGTGCACATTCTGACCAAATACTCCACGGCATCCAATTATCTTATCGAAAATTATAAAACTTTACTTCTCAAAGTAAAGTAAAACTGATTTATACAAAAATATAACTTTCTATATTAGAGTTTTTTAACTAGTTAAAAAACCTTAATTTGGAAAACCAAGAACTAAAAAAAAAAAGATAAGTATGATCAAACTGGAAGAAAGGTCTAAATCCCTTTTAGATATTTTATCAAGTTTAAATTTTATAACAATTAAATTACTTTGTAAATATAACACTTTACAAAGAAAATTAGAAAATAAGTTAGCAATAAAAAAAATGTTTAAACATGTACGCAATTTTCACAAAGTTATAAAAATTTATAAGAATGGATGCATTACATAGTATGTATGGATGCATATAAATCTCAGCATAAAACTGTACAATGAAGTATTATTAGTATTTTACGTTGTGATTAAATTTTTTTCTTTTTTTTAAATTTTATGAAAAATAATTTTTCTCATTTTGCATCAAGAGGTCAATTTTCATGAATTACACAAATAAATTATTCAACCTTCAAAATCAGTTTTAATATATATTATTTTTAATCAGTGTTTATATATAATGAAGATATTATTGTTATATAACTAACTTAAATTAATATTTAAGTTAGTTATATAAATAGTTTAGAATTCAAATTAATTTTAGCTCTTATCTCTTTTAGAGATAAGAGCTAAAATTAAACTTTAGTTTAGTTAAATTAGTCAACTGTTATTCAATTATATTTTAATCAGTTATACTTTTATTACTGATATGTGAAAAACTTATTTATATTTAATGGACTTTTTCCAATTCAAACGTAATATTTAATACAAATAATAGGATTGGTAATACAGCAATCAAATGGTGATTTTTTATTTGTGGATTTTACAACATGGATTAATGATTGGAAAAAATTACAATTAAATCTATGCCGTAAATAAGAATGTATGCCGTAAATAAGAATATATATATATATATATATATATATATATATATATATATATATATATATATATATATATATATATATATATATATATATATATATATATCAAGACACTTGATATCTTGATATATATATATATATATATATATATATATATATATATATATATATATATATATATATATATATATATATATATATATATATATATATATATATATATACAGTTGACACTTGATATCTTGACTACTAGATATCTTGAACTTTTTTTCCAGTCCCTTGCAAACATTCCTTAGCCCAAACTAATATTTTTCTTTTATGTATAAAAATCTTTTTCAGTACAACCTACAAAACGTTGATTTTTCAAGCAATTGGGAACAGTTTGAATTTCATTTATACCATGATCTATATGTAAATCTTTAAATAGCACGGGTGCAAATACTTCTCTTGTTTAACTTTCCTAATAATTTCTCTACCAATGTCTATTGTTTTTTTTTATATAATTTTTTAATGATGTTTCCTACACTATTTGGCTTAACATTTACTATTGTAAAAAAAGTTTTGTATCCTTTTGCATTTTTATAGTGTTCAATGATCAAATTTTTATTGATCGCTAAATTTCTTTTCACCTAGATTTTATTATCAAGAACTGCATTACAATATTTAATAACAGAAAAGTTAAAAAAAAATTTGAATGCCAAACACTTTTTTTAGGGGGAAACGCTTTTTTTAGGGGTAAAACGGTTATGAGGTAATGTAGTGGTAAGAGTGCTTCCTTTGTAAGCAAGAGGTTCGGAGTTCGACTCCCACCATGTCCCTGAATGTACCGCGCTCAACTTAACTTCTCCGCGCATTGTATAATTTATATAATATATTATATATATAATATAATATATATAATATATATATATATATATATTTATATATATATATATATATACATATATATATATATATATATGTATATATATATATATATATATATATATATATATATATATATATATATATATATATATATATATATATATATATATATATATATATATATATATATATATATATATATATATATATATATATATATATATATATATATATATTAGGTATATGACAAAAAAACTTTTTTCAAAATTTTTATTTTCCTGATGTTGCATTTGATGAATTTTTACCAATAGATCACTGTTTTGAGGTTCATTTTATTGGATCACAAAAAAACCTCCCGCACTTAGCACCTCACCAACTTTTAACTTATTCGATTTTTTACTTGATTTTGTTCCCAGTTCTTACTTCCTTATGCTTGACTACGCTTGACTATGCTTGAATATAACTACAAGTTGGAGAGCGTCAAACAGTTTAAAAAGTTAATTAACGTAAAATGAAAAAGTTCGATAGTTTTAAATTGTTTTTATGTTATGTAACTCAATTTTGAATAACAAATTTTAACAACTGTTTTTCAAATTAATGCGCGTTTGTTGTTGTTTGTTGTTGAGTGTTTTTTAATGTTCACGCGATTAAATTATTGAGTAGAAGTATTTAAAAATTTTTTTTATTATTTGCAGTATTAATTTGCAAGATCTGCTGTTTAGTGCTTCTTTTTGAAAATATGTCCTTTAAAAGTAAAAAGTCAAAATCAGCAGTGGAAGCAGCTGGTAAAATATAGACACAAAATTTGAAATCAAGTACAAATTGAATCAGATGGGAGGGTGGGATATACAACAATGAAAGTGGCTCCTATGTCAACAATCAATCGGATTTAATCGGATGTTGTAAGTAGCGCTTCTATACAGCGCAAAGTATTTTGGACATCTCCAATTTATCCATCTCCAATTTAAAAAATTTGACATATCTGGTTTACCCTTTGTGAGTCCTTTTTTCACATGTAAATTTAGATGCAATCTAAATTTTTTTTGTAAAGATATTGTCTTCATCAATTTGTTTCCCCATCAGTAGGCTCATTATATATATATATATATATATATATATATATATATATATATATATATATATATATATATATATATATATATAAATATATATATATATTTATATATATGTATATACATATATAAACATATATATATATAAACATAAATTAGTAAAAACACTTATCTAGTTTGCTTTAACAATTTGTTTCCCTATCGGTAGGCTCATCAGGAAGGATGTCTGAACATCAAAAAAAAATTCTAGTTATAGAAAAAATATTTCACAGAAAGTTAAGAATTGGTTTAATTATTAATGTAATAGCTGCAGTTATTTTACATCCAGGAAATTGCATCAAATATTTTTTCTATAACTTGAACTTTTTTTTGATGTTTAGACATTCTTCCTGATGAGCCTACTGATGGCAAATCATATTGTCGAAGAAAATTAGGTAATTGTTTTTACTAATTTAATATTGCTCCGTCCTTTAAGAGCACTGAGCCTTCTATTTGTAGAATACACTAACATAAGTTATATATATATATATATATATATACAAGAATTAGGGTCGGCATTCGGCATTGCCGACCTAACTGCCAACCTGAAAGTATTTAAGGTCAGCAAAAATTTGCCGACCTTGTTTCTTTGTTTTATGGTTAGACCTTTGCATCAAATAGTAGAGTTTGAAAATCCAATAATAGTGTTGAAAATCCAATAGTAGAGTTTGAACCCTGAACAAATGTCAATTTAACAGTCACGCATCATAATTGTCACAACAAATCAATCTGTGCGCTACATTAACATGGCAATATAGAAAAATCCATTGAATTTGTTTTTAAATTGTTTGTTTGAACTATTAATTAAGACGCTTCTAAATGGAAAAATATATAAATTTTATATTTTTATTTTTTCTGGTTTATACTTTATTTGTTTAATCATTTGTTAAGATTATTTCTTGTTTCAGTTTATAATTTGTTTATTTTTAAATTTCATATTAAATTAGTTTGGTTTTTTTCAGTGCATTTTGTAAAACACTGCCCAACTTGGCGCAAAAAAACTTGCCCAAGTTGGCGCAAAAAAATTTAGATGCATGGTCATTAAAGGTGTGCAACCACAGGCATCTCTAAGGCAATATATATATATATATATATATTTATATATATATATATATATATATATATATATATATATATATATATATATATATATATATATATATATATATATATATATTTATTTTAAATTTTTATATATAGATATATATTAAATTTTTTTCATTAAGATGACAACGTACAAACTTACGATTACTTCTGCTTATGACTTCAAAATAAGATTTGTCACTAAATATTACATAATGCTATCAATTTTGTGCCCAATTAACATTATTTTTACACCAAGTAAGTCTCTTCTTTTAAAGATCCTTATTTTGATAAAAACAACGTTTACAAGTGCAACTTTTTAACCCTTTTTCTAACAAACTGTTCTTGCACTAATAGTTTTTTCTTTTGCAGCAATTTACTCCATTGCAATTTTTCTACTTGAATCAGTACAACTTTTTTTAGCAAGTGTCACTATATAGCGGTCTTCTGTAGAAATAGTCCATCTAAGACGTTTTTTACCTGCTTGATTTTTTATTGTTAAATTTAATTTAATTTTATTAGCAATATAGTAGACAAATTTTCTGGAAGTTTTAGTATGTTTAGCAATACCAGCAATATTAAATTGGTTTTGAAGTAAGTTTTTTAGAAGTTTTCGAACTAACTGCTTTGTGACCCATTGCATTAAATATATGTTAATTTTATAATTACTGAAAAATATTTGAAAAATTATAAAATTTGCTATTTCAATAATCAACTATGGCGTTAGTAGATAAATAAAATATCATACACAACAATGCGTCAATGCATTTAATCATACACACTGTCAAAATTACAAATGAATGTGAATGTGCTATAAATTTGATCAACATTTTTTGCATATAATTTTTTATTTCTACGATGAATAATAAACAAAATTTTTAATTTCATGTGCACATCTAAAAGGACTAATGTAAACACATTTCAAAAATACAGTACCTTTCAACAATACGATTAATGCATACAAAAATTTTACATGATAATCTCAGGGCTCAAATTAACGCAAAAAAATCTAATCGTAAAAAAATAATTTTTCACCCCCCACTCTTTCCCCTTAAACCTTCGGTAATGGGGGAGGGAAGTTGCGTTAGTATATAATTGTAACTTTTGTACGTAATTGTCCTACTTTTAATATATTATCACTCATATTTAAATATAATCTTATAATTATTTTGTTTAGCAGAGTTTAAAACAGCGTAAGTTACTGTTAATATTTACAACTTAAGTTATAACTTAAAGTATAAGTTGCAGTTGTAATAGAAAACTATTTAATACGTTTTAGCTTACATTAAAACACGTGTTAATTTTAAAAAGTATTTAACTGTTAAAAGCTATAAGACAACATTAAAACAAACTGCAAATTTGTTTTAAAAATATAAAGAGCTTGGGTTAACGTAAAACAAATTTGTGACGCTTTTTCGTGTTGATTTATACAATTTATAAAATAAAACGCGTTTAAAATAAAAGGAAGCAAATAAATAAAATTGATCTTGTTAATAAACTAAAACAAAACTTCATATTTGCGCCTATACCTATATGAGTTTATAATATATGAACCAAACGAGTAAGATCAAAGCATAAAAACATTAGATACCACGTCTTTTATAAATTATCATTTCCTGATCAAGCGTAAAATTAAAAATTTAAGTATAATTAAGTTTTTCATTCAAATGGTTTTTAAACTGATGTTTTCATTCAATTTTTTTTATTTTAATTGTTTTCCAAAAAAAAAAGTGAAATAAAAAATTTTGTTTAATAAATTGAATTGTATTAAGTGTAAGAATATGCTTAAATGATTTTTGTAGAAAAAATTTTTTTCGAACAGTAGTAAAATAGTTTATTAAATTTAATTTAAAATTTTTATAATTTTTATGTTAACTTGCAATTTGCAATCACTGCTTTGATGTTTACAATAGAATGTTTCTACTTTTAAAACTATTTTCAAGAAAAAATATATAATTCAAAACGTTAAAAAAATTTACAATTTAAGAAAAAAAATCCTTCTTCTTTTATCCCTTGTTTCATCAAACTTTTTTTAAATTTTTAAATTTTTTTAAAATAAATTTCAATCACAAAATTATTTTAATAAGTGAATTTTAAGGCTAAAGTTCTCTTGTTAAATTGATTTCTTTTTAAATAAAGTTCCTGAAATAATTGCATATTTATAAAAAAATGTTTAGTCTAGATGTCGCTATAAATAAAATGAAAAAATAAAAAATGGTGTCGCGTTTTTCATATTCTATTTGACAATTTTTGTTATAATAATTATTAGTTAAAAGCTTACATTATGTGTTAACAACATGTAAGATCTAAATTGAAACACGTCTATGGCTAACTTTTGCGAGTATATTAAATAAATTAATATAATTGTTAAATTAATACTTGAGTAACTGTAAGTTACTATCTATAACTTAACTGGTTGTTTTGATTAAGGTTATAAGTTAATTTACTGTGATATACTCAATCCATTCCGTAAAGTTAAATAAGTATAACTTCAACTGTTTCATGGTCGTTAAAGCGAAAAACGTGAAAGCAAAAAAGTTGCTATTTTTTTTTAGCACAATTTTACTAATAGAAATTTTATTTAATAAAAACAAATTTATATATATTTTATTATACTTAAAGTAAAAATAATTGTATAAAATTGTTTATAAAATAATAATTTAAATCATTATTATTAAGTTAATTTGGAGCAACAATTCTTTTAAAAAAAGATAAAAATGCTGTTTTGTTAAAAAAATAGAATGAAGAAAAAATTATTTTTTAACTTTTGTCTTTATAATTTGCTTCTACCCAGAGATGTAAAGTAGCTTAAATTAAACAGTGCTTTACAATGAATAAAAATCTCAGCGCGAAAGAACAAATAATCATGCTTCTATTCAAAAACAAATGATCATACTTTTATTCAAAAGAGAAACTTTGCGTGACATACTTTACTATGAAAACATTATTTTTAAGAATTGCCAAAAAAAAAAGCTAAATTAGAAAAATAGTAAATAAACAACTAAAAAAGTAAACCAATCGCGAAAATATATGTTTTAAGGAAAAACAAATAGCGAAGGTGTATATATATATATATATATATATACACCTTCGCTATACAAAGCAATTGCGATTCGCGATCGCGATACACTTAATTTAAGCCCTGAGTCTTATTTTAAGAGGTTGTGCTATAATTTAGTCCAGTATGTATGTATGTATGTATGTATGTATGTATGTATGTATGTATGTATGTATATATATATATATATATGTATATATATATATATATATATATATATATATATATATATATATATATATATATATATATATATATATATATATATATATATATATATATATATATATATATATATATATATGTAAATATATATGTATATGTATGTATGTATATATATATATATATATATATATATATATATATATATATATATATATATATATATATATATATATATATATATATATATATATATATATATATATATATATATATATATATATATATGTATATGTATGTATGTATATATATATATATATATATATATATATATATATATATATATATATATATATATATATATATATATATATATATATATATATATATATATATATATATATATATATACATACATAAATATATATGTATATACATAAATACAGGGTATTTATGTATATTTATATTTATGTCCCAAAAACAAGATAAAAAATATATTCCTGGCTATTTACCCAGATATATATATATATATATATATATATATATATATATATATATATATATATATATATATATATATATATATATATATATATATATTCTATTTATTGATCTTACCAATAGTTGTCAAATAAAGAAATTAAAAATAAAAAAATAAATTAGTTATATATAAAAAGTAATTTTTTTACTTATAAATATTAAGTCATTTTTTTACTTTTAAATAATAAAAAATCTAAACTGTGTGTATTTTTAAATTTTTTTTAAATTGATTATAAAAAAGACATTTGTTTCATTATTCATTGCAATGTTGCAAGATTATGTTACAATTTATAGAAAAACACTTTTTAAAACATGAACCGAATATAACTAAATGAAACCAAAAATAACTAATTTTTGTTTAAGTATGTTTTAGTATGATTTATTTTATTTTTAGTATGATAATATATTTTTAACTTAAAATTTGTTTTAGAAAAAATTTTTACTAACTAACTAATTTATTAAATACATTTGTTAATATTTTACATAAATTTTTTTTAAATTGATTATAAAAAAGACATTTATTTCATTATTCATGGCAATGTTGCAAGATTATGTTACAATGGATAGAAAAACACTTTTTAAAACATGAACCGAATCACACTATAAACCAAAAATAACTAAATTTTGTTTAAGTATGTTTTAGTATGATTTATTTTATTTTTAGTATGATAATTTATTTTTAACTTAAAATTTGTTTTATAAAAAATTTTTAATAATTAACTAATTTATTAAATACATTTGTTAATATTTTACATAAATTAAAAGTACATGCTTTTAGTTTGATAAGTATAAAAGTAAAAAAATTTAATTAAATTAATTTTTTATTAGCATTTTTAGTGTAAATAACTTAGGCACATATATTTACTTCAAGCATTACAATATTTTTTTTTAATTACTCAACTCTTGGTTAATTTTTCAAAGAATAAAAAGAATAAAAAAAAGATTAACTATGTACTTAAATTAAGCCTGAAAGAATGTCACTTAAGTGTACTAAGGCCCAACATGTGTTTGCTATCTATTGCAAGTATTTTTGAATTTAATTTTTACTAACCTAAACATGTTATATTGTTGATACAGGATGCTGTCTCAGTAATGTTGCCAGAGCAATTGAACACAGTATTTGTAGAATTGCAAAGGAGTGATCTGCTCATCAGACTCACTCCACATAAAGTCAGGCATTCAGACCAGTTACTCCATTGTACCCAAATACCTAAAAGTAAAAATATTAACTTGTTACCTTACAAATATAACTTTGTATTTATGGTATACACCAATTAAATAATAGCCTGAATTAAATCTCCACCTAATAAATATAAAAAAACAAACTAATTAAAATTTTAAAAATTAGTGCAAATGCAAATGTTAATAGTCTAACCAACACAAGTTTTATTGCTGATACATGGTATTGTTTCAGTATTGTTGCCATAACAATCATACAAACTTCTTGTATTGTTGCAAATACGCAATCTGTTCATAACACTTACTCCACATGATGGTGCACATTCGGACCAGCTACTCCACTGCATCCAAACACCTAATTAAAATTATATATAAACTCTATTTTCTATAAAGAAATATATAACTATGATTAAGATTTTATATGATTAACTAAAACGTTTTTAAAAAAGTTAGCATGTAAACAAGTTATTTTTTTTAAACACCTTTTATTCTAACAAGGCCGCAAGCAACAACTATTAGAGTTAAAAGTTATAATTAATAAACAACTTGAAAGGTTGCAAATTATATAGATCAGGAAAATAAAATAAAGAGAGCAAATTCAAAAGAACTGATGTTCAAAAAAAAAAAACTAGACTTGATAAAATTTTTAAACCACTTAAGTCACAGTAAAAAGATAAGACTTGATTGAATGATGAGTAACACAGAAATAAATTTTAATAGATGGCACAATAGTTTACTTTAGAGTAGTATCCATTATACTATTTATAGAAAAAAAAGTTTTAAAGCAAATTCTATAGAAATTCTAAAGGCTATATTTTTGGAAGGTTTATAGAAATTCTATTAAACTTTTCCTGGGTATATATAACTGCAATAAGAGTGTAAGAATATGTTCTTTTCATTTTGATGGTTTGTTTTTTAGACATGTTTTGACATGTCAAAAGAACAAGCGACAAAATAATTAATTCCAAAATCAGTGCTAGGGTGGATTCATAGAGAAGAAAAAGAGAAGCAACATTACAACAATCTGTCAATGGTTTAAGGTTCACTTATGTTTACAATGCATTTTTGCACCTTGTCTAAAGGGAAAGGGCATGACTCAAAGATTCCCTCCAAATATGGCAACAGTATTCCATACAAGGACAGATTTGAGATTTATAAAGATAAAGAGTAGAGTCAAAAGTAAGAAAGTTGTGACCTTAGCAACCTTAGCAGATGTTAATTTTGCAATAAATTTGATATCCAAGAAAGATCATTAGTAAGAGTTAATCCAAAGAAGACAAAGAGTAGATGATGAAATAGAAGGATGTATGATGGATAGAAGACAAAGAGTAGATGATGAAATAGAAGGATATATGATGGATAGAAGACAAAGGGTAGATGATGAAATAGAAGAATATATGATGGATAGAAGACAAAGGGTAGATGATGAAATAGAAGGATATATGATGGATAGAAGACAAAAGGTAGAAAGTGAAATAGAAGGATATATGATGGATAGATGAAAAGGGTACAAATCGATAGATACAAAGGGTAGATGACTTATTAAGTACATTACCGTTCATAAATAAAAGAAGATCTAAATTATTTCGATAACAATTAGTAGAAAAAAGTTTACCAGTCAGTCAGATTCCCATTCTGCAGCAGAAGTGAGATCCTTTTTAAGCTCAAATAAACAAATGATGTTACCTAATACACCGTAAAAAAAGAGCTTATGGAGAAGACAAGCATGCTAAACTTTACCAAAGGCTTTAGAAATGTCAAGAGCAATAGCCTGAACATCTCCACGTCTATCAAATGGACAAAAAAACCTATTGGTTATCACTTTTATTGGTTATTAGCAGTAGAACAAGAGGATCGAATTGATGATCAAAAAGTAATATTTATTTCAAGATGAGAGAAGTTTTTTTAATTAAAGACTTAAAAGCTTTGCTTATGATAGTAAGTAGACTAATCGGAATGCAGTAAGAAGAGTCAGATCCCACTCCAGAATTTTTGAAAAAAAGATAACTGATACCACTTTTAGTAGATTGGAAAACAAGACAGCTCCAGAGTGCACTTCTGCAAGACTACAAAAGATAACTTGTCCGGACCACAAGCTGTAGAAGATTCTAAGCAGGAAACAGTTTAGATGCAGAAGCTAGAGTGATACAAATGTCAAGCAATGGTTCAACTTGTTTGTCAGCTGTCAGGTTGGATGTGATTAGTGGAACTAAGAGATGAAATTGATGAAAAGTTCTTAGCAAAAAAATCAGCTTCATCTTTAGGTGACAAAACATTTTTACAATGGTTTCAAGCAATAGGAAACAGACGTCTGTTTTCTGGAGAATCGTTTTGGTGATAGATATGGAAATAATAGTAACATTTGAAAACTGCAGCTAAACAATGAAAGGAAAACCATTGAGGAGAGTGAGGCTTGAATTAGAACTGTCAAAAAGGAATAAAAGATTTCATTCCAATCTGAAACCAGAAGTTACATAAGAAGCACATCTGTCAGCAGGAAGACATAAGATTTCTACCCAAGGGCCATCACAAATAAAGTCACAGAAAGAATCTCAGTCTTTAAGGTATTTTTAAAAAATATGGTGATAAGGAATGCTGATGACGAAGAAGAATGTGATAATAGTTTGAAAGAGATCAAACACCGATTAAAAGCACATAAAGGTAATCTTCATTTATTCTCTTTCAGTAACTTCCAACTTTAATAGTGGTTGCTTGCTGCCTTATTGGAAGTATTAACAATTTATTTTGTTTTTTAATTATTAAATAAATTTGGATTATTATATTTATACAACAATAATTATTTATTATATACTATTTTATTTTAGTTGCATTATAAGCTATAAGTATTTGCGTTAGTGATTGAGAAAGGCAAAAATTGTGGGCTTTGATGCCTGCAGAGTTACTGACACTAGATCCAAACCATTTAGTGTGATTAGCATTTAAATCACTAACAACAACAATATTGGCTGAAGGACAAAGAGAAAGGACTTGGTCAATTTCATCGGAAATAACATCAAAATGAGTGCAGACATAAGATGATGGAGAGCAATATAGAATCAAGAGTATGGTGTTAGAATGAAGTGGTACTACAAGAAGGCACATAAAAGAATAGTTTGTGGATTCAAACCTAGTTTTCTGACAAATGAGTGAATTCTTTTGAATGTAAATTTTTATGCCAAGCATGTGAGTATTGGAGTCTTTACAAATCCAAGAAAGATAACCATCAACACTAAGATAACAATATGAGACAGCTAAACTCAAATTAGTCTCACAAAAAGCAACTAGGTCTGGTGAACTTTGAAAGAGATAAGACTCAACAAAAGAAAATTTACTTTAAAGACCACGAATATTAGTGAATGATAGATTTAGAGAACTGATGAGAGTGATGACAATGGTTTTATTGTGATTTATAATTTTAGGTAATTTATACTCATTTTCGGATTTGTTAGAGAACTTGACTCAAAGTGCAGATTCAAAGTGACTCAAAGTGCAAACAAGACTCAAAGTACTCAGTACACTATCTAATAGTCTAAGCAATTTTCTAATTACTATTAATAAACCTTGATTACAATTAATAAAGTCTTGTTACAATTAATAAATTCTTAAAAAGCGCTCTAAATGTGGCCTCAACAACGCACACTAAAAGTACAAACAGGGACACCATTCATGCACAACATGACACTGTTAGTACTTTGATATTTTACAGCTATTAAAGAGTTAAGGAAAACTGACTGGCAGCCAGCCTAAGAACAATAAAACTGAATTTTTAGAACTGTATCCTCATTAGGAGATAATAAAATAAGTTGACTAGATGTAAAAACAGAGACACAAATAAAACCTATCATTTTTATACATTTGTTATTAAAGATAATATTATTATACAACCAATTTTAATTAATATTTAGTGCTAAATTTCACAGATGCAAGATTTTTAGCATTAATTTAGTTAAAACAATTAAATCTAATGCAGTAGAGGTGCAGTAGTAGAACACTCGCTTTGTAGCAAAAAATTCAATTCCAACCACTTCTTTGGTAGTACCAAGTCATCTTGTTTCTTTATCAATTGCCAAAGTAGCGTCCTAAACTGTTGCAGCCTCCTTACCTTTGGGGAGGCAAACAACATTTAAAAAAAAGCCTAACTAATATTAGTCAATTATATTTTTTAGTTTGACTTATGTCAATAAATGTAAATTCTTTTTTAAAACAAAAATTAGTTGACTAAAATGAGTTTTGTTAATGAAAATTATTGAATATCATTTTCTTTTGTTATTTTTTTTAAATAAAACTTTTAAAAATTAATATTTTAATAGACTCTGAGGAGAAATTTATTACTTAACCAATACGCAAGCTATGTTTACATATTAGTGTTAATTTTTTTTTTCCTATTCTTACAAGGTTGGGAAAAACCTGTTTTTTTTTTAAAAAAAAAACCGGGCCCAGTGGGTTTTTTTTGGGTAATTTTAGGTTTTTTTGGGGTTTTTTATTTTTTGGGATTGTTTAATAATATTGAAAACTAATATCATTTTTAACTTAAAGTTTATTCAAAATATATTTTATATGTTTTTAAAATTCATAACAACACCTTAAATTATTTTCAATAAGTTTTTTTAATTTTTAACTTTAAGTTTATTTAAAATATATTTTATATGTTTTTAAAATTCATAACAACACCTTAAATTATTTTCAATAAGTTTTTTTAATTTTTAACTTTAAGTTTATTTAAAATATATTTTAGATGTTTTTAAAATTTATAACAACACTATAAATTATTTTCAATAAGTTTTTTTTTATTACATTTTAAAAAATAATTTAAAAATGTAACAAAATAAAAAAAAATTTATGATAAACCTATATGTATTGATATATTTTAGATTTAATAATAATATTTTTTATAATTTTGATGGGAAGTGGGAGAAAGAAAGCTGGAAAATGGGATGAAGTGACTGAAGTTAAAAACAGTACAAAGGTTTCTTGTGACTATTGTCATGCTTTGATTAGCAACAAGATAGAACGAGTAAAGCCTGATTTAAAACATTGCCAAAAAAAGTTTAAGTTTTTACACAAGCATACAGAAGCGGACAATCTCAATTTGTCAAAATATTTAAATAAAAATTGTGATGATGTACCAAATCATGATTTAAATATTGGTACATCTGCTCTAATAGCTGGACCATCATCTCAAGTTGAAAAAAGTTCTTTGGCATCTGTAAGTTCTATAAATTCGTTAACACCTTGTAAGAAGCAGTGGTTGATGTCATCGTACACAATATCAACTAATATGGAACAGAGAGTAAATATTGATATAAAAATAGCAAAGATTTTCTTCAGTGCAAATCTGGGACAAAAAAATGAGGGATTCAAAACTTCTGAAAATCAAGAATAGACATGATCAATTCATTGAGACCAGAATATAATCAACCTAACAGAAAAATGCTTAGAGGAGAGCTCTTAGAAAAAGTTTACAAGGAAGTAAACAAAAAAATGATGGATCAACCTACCCAAGAAAAGAAAACAATAACAATTATGCAAGTCGGATGGAGTAGTGTTACTAATGTTCCCATTATTGCTCATAGTGCATATGATGGACTTAATTTTATGCATTAATGATTGTGCATCAAATAAAAAAATAACCGAACTCCGTTGTAATGTCATTAAAGATCATAAAGCAACATACAACAAAGAAGTATTTGCTGTGGTAACAGATTCAATCAAAGAAACGTATCCAAATCTTTTAACATATGGGTGTTCTGCACATTATTAAAACCTTTTAAAAAAAGAAGTAACACACCCAGATGTCATCAAACATGTGGTTGAAGTGCAGAAACATTTTTGCAATACACATCAACCGCATGTAAACATTATTTTGAATTTGTGGGTTAAACTTAAAGTATAAAAAATATATAAAAGTTTAAAATTAACTATTCAATTTTTATTTTAAGGGATGGTTGCATGAGAAAGGGGGTATATGCCTCAATTACCAAACGATACCCGATGGAACTGCCAAAATGACTGTATAGAAACATACATAAAAAACTACCAAATTTATGTAGAAATAATAGATAATCATAATGTACCTATCAAAATCAGAAAAATTATTGAAAATTGAGCAACATTTAGAGAAGCTAACAGTCTTCAAACCCAACTCAAAATATTTGGTGTTGTTTTAGATCAAGTATGTAATTTTTTTATATTAAAGTTTTTTTTAGATAATAAAATTTTGTAGGTGTAAAGGAAAAGTAATAAAAATAAATATATTACCTTGATTATATAAATTAAAAAATAAACTTTTTCTAGATGCAAAGTGACAGCTGTCACCTTTCCAAATGTGTTGAGCTATGGGTCTCATTTCTGAACAACCCTGAACTAAGTCATTATCACACAGCTATCAAAAAGAGATGTAATGATGCTATGACACCAATCTATTATCTTGCATACATGACCAATCCTCGCTTTTTGGGTAAAAATAATTTTTGCTTAAAAAAAAAAAATTGTTTTCACACCTATATGCTAATCTAAATTTTTTTTTTATAGGCAAAAAGCTGCCAATTGAAAATGAAGATAAGGCTGAAAAATTGCTTTACAATCATTATCGTGATTTTGTACCTGGGTTGATTTTGCTTAAATTAAAGAATTGTGATGCATTTTCTAAAAGGATGTTAAGCGATCAAATTATATCAACAATATTGTGCAGTGATTGGTGGTCTATCATTACCCAGAGAAATGAAAAATCAATTCAGAAAAAATTGCCTAAAGGATTTTGCAAATTTATTTCTAAACTTCAAAAATGCACTGCTAGCTCAGGATCAATAGAAAGAATATTTTCAAGAATATTTTATTTGTTCAAAAGTTAAAAATAAATTAGGATGTAAAAAGGCTAAAAGCTTGTACAAATATATAGACAGTATTAAAAATAGGCAGTTCTATTTGCAAGAAGTATACCAAAAATGTAATTAGTCTTGTCAATGTGTATTTATTCTAAAAAATTTTGTTTGGTTTCCAAAATAAAATTGTGTTAAATAAAAAATGTTGTGCTTAAATTAAAAATTTCCCTTTATATAATATGTTTATGTTTTCAGAAATGTTGGTTAATAATATGTTTATATTTTCAGAAATGTTGGTTAATAAAAGTATATATTAATAATATTATAGTTCATAAGATTATAGCTATATTTCAAAAAAAATCATATTGCCTGGGTTTTATTGGGTTTTTTTAGCTGGGTTTTATTGTGCAGGTTTTATTGGGGCAGGTTTTTTAATGCCAACCCTGTATTCTTAGGACTTATATTATTGTATGCATTTTTTTTTATTTTTTCAGTCAATATTTCATCTTTTATGTTTTTATTTTGGTATTACATTTGCTGTAAATCTTTTTTTTAGGTGGGTTTTTTTTTTTTAAATTATCTTTTAGTATTTATATAAAGTATATTTTTTACTGTGGCTGCAGTAGATGTTAGTCTCTGTAATATGCCTGGGCTATTTTTTAAAATATATATTATATACATTCTATATATATATATATATATATATATATATATATGCACTCAAAAAAAAAAAACAATATGCAGTTTGTTAAAAATGTAGTTTCATTAACAACACAATCATTATTTAGTTTTTTAATTAAATAAGTTAAACATTTTTATAGAAAGATGCATTAATAACATGCAAACATAATAACATTTTAAACAGTTTATTCATTTGTTTGTTATGAGTTAAAATTAATTTCATATATATTAACAATATATAAGCATATGTCTTTGAAAACTTATATTAAAACAAATATAAATATAATGTAGATAGTAGTTATAAAATAAAAAAAACTTTTTATTAAAATTAAAGAATATAAAAAAAAAACTTTTTGTCCAAATTTTTTTGAAGTTAAAATCTTTAAACTAGGTTTATATATTGCATATTGTAAACTTTATACTAACTAGATAATTAAAAATTTAAAAGTATTAAGATGATGTTTTGTTAAAGATTATGAATTTATAAACATGTAAGGTTTATTGATGCAAACAAATTAAAAATTTAGCAACAATGATCAACTCTCAATTTAATAACTTACTTTATTTACTTTATATACTTCAATTTAATAACTTACGTTACTTAAAACATTAAATAATTCGTTAAAAAATAATAATAATAAAAATACCAATGCAGGTATCAAACTCTGTACTGTTTCCTAAACAATCCCCACCCATAATGTTTACAATACATGAGCGGCTTCTGTTTTTCATGCAATTGACACAGGTATCACTGCAGTTTGACCAATCAGTCCACTGTGTCCAAACTCCTAATTTCAACAAAGTTAAAGTAGCATTTACTTATTTAAAAAAAATAAAAATTACAGCACTTAAATAAAGTAATATAATTAATTTTAATCAATGTTTAATTATTATTTAAATTAATAATTGTAAAAGAATTTAATATTTGCTAAAAATAATATATAAATAATTATCTATAAATAAATATATAGTATTAATTAAATGCATTTAACTTTATTAACCAAAAGATAATTATTAAAATTATATATAGTTTATAAGTATATAAGAGTAATATACAATTTACTAGTATATATTATATTATTAAATATATTATTTATTAATCAATTTTTATTATATCTGTTTATTTTCCACAATTTAATTTTGTTTTATACTTTTCTCTTATCTTGAATTATACTCTGTAAAATTTGTTTTGTTTTAGGAAATTCTTCTAAGGTTCTAGGATAAACTTTTTTACGAATTTAAAAATCAGAAAATTTTTTGAAAAGTGAAACCAGCTAATTTTTTGAATTTGTTTGTAACTCAAAAAAGCTAATCTCGGTAGTTAGTATTTGAGAATTAAAGATTTCTTGAATTATTAGTTTATGTTGATGACATAAGAGAGATTGTAGTTATGTTGATGACATAAGAGAATCATTAGGGATAAGAGTTTTACCTGGGTGGAAATTATGAAATCTTTGAATTTTTGCTTCAAATAATCATTGTAATTATCTTCTAATCTACCATCTAAATTCATTTAAACAAAGATCCAAGTGACACCATGGCGTCAGATCTTTGTCTAAACAATTTCATAAGTGATCTATATTAGTCATCTATATTGCTATATAATTGTCATCTATTATTAGCTGATATAATATTACTGAAACTGAAGCTTGGAGCCATATTATCTCAAGATCAAGATTAATCTTGCTAGTGTTTCATAAGGTGTAGTCTCTTTGGCATGGGATTAATAATAATAGGGATTAATATCAACCATAATTTGTTTATAGTGTAGACTAAAAAGTAATTACATGTCAAAACAAACTTTTTCTTCTTAAATGCAACCATGTTCTTGGATTTTCTTTATATTTTAACCATAGTTATTATATATATATATATATATATATATATATATATATATATATATATATATATATATATATACATATATATATATATATATATATATATATATATATATATAGAATATGATTAATCCCAAAATAATTACTAATAAGATTAATTAACAATTTAAAAGTATTTAGATATATGGATTTTATCAACATGTTTATTGATGCAAACAGATTTTAACTTTAATATTATTACTTTGACCTATTTCCCCCATTTTTTAAATTTACATTTTTCCTTATAGAACCAAGTCTTTAAAAGAGATATATATATATATATATATATATATATATATATATATATATATATATATATATATATATATATATATATATATATATATCTTTAACAAATAAAATATTTATATCTTTGTAACAGTAAAATATGATTTCCTTTTTGTACCTTCTAACTGTAATGCTGTGCATAATAGAGTTTTTAACTGAAAAATATTTTTCTAGAGTGTAAAAATAATAAAATCTGCTTAAGTCTATTATTATTTGTATCAACTTAAGTTTTATTTTAGTTTATGTAAATACTAATTAACAAAAATAAATTTTATTTATAACCATTTTTTAACATAAATGATGTTTAAAGTAAAAGTTAGTGCAAGTTTTAGATAAATTGATGTTTAAAATATAAATAGAAATCTTCTATTGTCAAAACATTTGATTTTATTTTGTACTTACCCTATATTTAAATTTAACTAATAAAGTTATTTAGCATAATCTTTAATCTAACTTTAAAAAACTAGCTAACATTATAAAAAAACTTAGTTTTTCAAGTTTGCTATTTATTAAAGATAAAATAATGTTATGCTCAGAAGAATAAAAAATCCAAGGGCATGTTATATTGTTAATTAAACTTTCTATTGACTGCAACGATTATTTTACTGATTATTCAGGGTTTTTTAGTTAGCAAATGATGTTAAGGTCTGAGCTCTGATAAAACAAATCTGCATGAAATCAGTTTAGTTTTTTATTATATATCTATAAAGACCGATAAAATTGCCCTTCTAATATATTTGTTACAAGTAAATTGTAAACTTACAAAGGTATACAATAGTATTTACTTAAATGATAAATAACATAAACTATAGAAAGTATAAATAGAATTTAATAAAAAATTAAAATGTTTTATTTATTTTTGACTACTTTAATTAGCAATTAGTTTCCTACTTTTTATTTAAAATTGCGATGTTAACACTATTTTCAAATGCTCGTGTACTTTTACTGATTTTATTTTATATGATTTAATATATGTTTATGATATTTATGTTTAAGAGTTTTTAATTTTGTTATTTGTTTAGCATTTATTTTACTTTCAAAACACTTTAAGTCTAAGTAAAAATTTAAAATTAGGTCTTTTAATTAAGCCATCTAGGTCATTTTTCAATCTGTATTGTGTTTTCTTATTTTAAAATATTATTTTGTTATTTTAGAATACAGTAGAAATAAAATTAGAATAAAATAAAAACTAGAAGAGACTGTTCACATCTTAACATTTGTTCACATTGTTCCTCTAACATTGCTTCACGGGATATATTTTATTTATAAAGTTAGCGATATAATAAATATTTAAATTGCGATGATTGGAGGGAGGTTACAATAAAACCTTTTAAGTTTTTTACCCCCCTCCCTCCTTATCCCTAACATAAGTGATTGAGATAGCTAACTTTCATACATAGAGCAAACTCCAAACAGTATGTTTATATTTATGTCAAATAATGAAGCTGTGCAAAAAATTGCAACGAATAGAGGCAGGTATTGAAAAAGTCCTTTGACTTCATAAAACAAACATGAGGGGCAACAACTTGATAAACAAATTTTTGTACTTTTCTCAATTAGATTTATATTCATTGATAAACTTCAAGTTTCTGAGTATTATTTCTGAGCGTTAAAAAATTATGACTATATAAAGTTTAAACCCCACTCAATATGAGGGGGTTACAATTTTATATGGTCATAATTTTTGAACGCTGAGAGATAATACTATGAAACTTGAAATTTATTGATGAATATAAATCTAATTGAGAAAAGTACACAAATTTTTTATCAAATTGTTGCCCCTCATGTTTGTTTTATGAAGTCAAAGGACTTTTTTGATACCTGCCTCTATTCGTTGCAATTTTTTGCACAGCCTCATTATTTGACATAAATATAAACATACTACTGTTTGGAGTTTGCTCTATGTATGAAAGTTAGCTATCTCAATCACCAAAAAATCCTGGATCTGTCACTAGGTATATTGGAGTAACTATATCTTAACCAAGATTCTAAGATTTTCTTTTAGGTTTTTTAATTCTTTTTACATTTTAAATTTGTTTCAATACTGAAGATTTTACCTATATTTTTGATTTACTATTATTTTTCATTTTTGTACCAAAAAAAAAATGTATTTTTAATTTTAAAATTGTTTAATAAATTTAATTTGATTAAAAAAAAACAGTTTTATTTTTTAAGCAAATGATATAATTTTTTTTCCATGTGGGAAGGGAGGAGAAGTTTTTAGCTCTCTTTAATTACAATAAATTTTAAAAATCCTCAAACAAATTCACTGAATTGAATTAGTTTTGTGTTAACTAGTTTTTAGAAAACAAAGAGCTTATTTATTTTTAAAAAAATTTATAAATAGCCATATTTTTAAACCTTGCTGATTCAAAGAGCATAGTTATTCTTAAGGTTTGTAAAAATTTTTTATGAATCAAATCTTTTATGAATCAACGCAAAATATGCTAAATTTTTTCACTCTGTTTTTAAGTTAGTCCCTGAGAATGAACTTTTTTTTTTTACTTGTTCCTAATAATATACATTTTCGTACATGTCTTTATAAATGCAGTTAAAGTGTAAATTTACAGTATTTGTAAAAATAGGGATTACGTTTTTTGTCTTGTAATATCTCAGAACACAGTTAACCTTTTGGTTTGCAAAATTTTAAGTCATTTTTGAATCAGCGGTAGATAAACAAACAAAAAATTAATTTTTATTTTTTTTATTTTCTTCTTCAATAAGCATATTTTTTGCATGTCCCCGAAAATATAATGTTTTCTGCGTGTTTTTATAATGAAATTTAAGAATTAAATTACAGTATTTGTAAAAATATAAGTTACATGCTATGTCTTCTTATGCCACAGAGCCCAGTAAATGGTTTGCAAGAATTAAAGTCATTTTTAAATCAGGGCTATAGTAGTTTTTTAGTTTGTCCCCGAAAATGCACATTTTTTTAGTGGTCCCCAAAAATACATAATTTTTGCATGTCTTTATAATAAAATTTAAAAAAATTTACAATATTTGTAAAAATGTAAGTTTTGTCATATCACAGAGCGCAGTGAACCTTTTGGTTTGCCAAAGTTAAAATCGTTTTTAAATCTGCTCTATGTAATTTTTTTTAACTAAACTTGTTTTTTAGTTTGTCCCCGAGAATGCACATTTTTTTACTGGTCCCCGAAAATACATAATTTTTGCATGTCTTTATAATAAAATTTTAGAAAAAAAATTGAAGTATTTGTAAAAAATATAAATTATATACTACATCTTGTCAGGTCACAGAATATATTGGTTTGCAAGAATTAAAGTTATTTTTAAATTAGCGCTATAGTAATTTTTTAAACTAAACTTGTTTTTTCGTTGGTCCCTGAATATGCACATTTTTTTACTGGTCCTCGAAAATACATATTTTTTTGCATGTCTTTATAAGGAAATAAAGTATAAAATCTCAGAAGTAATAACATTTTTTATGGAAGGTTCGTGTATCTAGGTCTTCTCACTTTTATATAAAAAATATATAGTTCTAAGTTATGCGTTCCAGTAAAATGATTAGTTATTTTGACTTTTTATTTTGTATTTTTACAATGATTCTAAGAGAGCATTGCAATAGTAAGTTATAATTGGACATATTTTTGATGATGTTAGAGAAATTTTTGCCGCTGGTATATTTAATTGTGGACGTTTTTTTCAATTTTGCTTAGAACTGTTAGTCAAGTTTGTTATATATTAAAGTGTTGCAATCAAGTAACACTAGATAAAAAACAGGCGCTCTAACTACTGAGCTTTAACTGGAAATCTCTAAAGCTGGAGTGGCTATAAAATGTTAAGAAAATATAAAAAGTTAACTTTTTTATAACTTAATTCTTAATACTTTGGTTTGCAAAATGTAAGTTGTTTTTAAATTGACGCTAAAGATACTAAATTTTTCAAATTAATTTTGTTTTACTATTTGTCTAAATGCGCATTTTTTTGCATGTCCCCGAAAAAACATATTTTATTATATGTCCCCATAAATGACCATTTTATGTTTAAAAAATTTATGGGGACCATTTTTTACAAAAAATTTATATATTTAGTTGTCATTAAGTCTATAAATTAACCTCATGTTGCCGCGTAAAACAGTGTTAATGTATCCAGATTGGATGCTTTATTTTGCTTTGTTTTTGAAATATTATAATCTATAAAATGCGAATTACCTATTTTTTTAAAGTCTGCTAAATCTTCACCAATCTTTTATATTACGGTTTTATATTTTTTTTGGCAGTGGCAACTTGTTGATTCAAAGCAACACTATGTAAATTAATAGGAGATTCTTCTAAACTTTCTAGGAATAAATTAATGTGAGTAAATAGTTCATCTTCTTGTGCCAATACTTCATCTGCTTCATTTTTACTAGGGTATTCTGCTGGTATATCTGCTTCTGACATATATATATATATATATATATATATATATATATATATATATATATATATATATATATATACATATGTATATATATATATATATATATATATATATATATATATATATATATATATATACATATGTATATATATATATATATATGTATATATATATATATATACATATGTATATATATATATATATATATATATATATATATATATATATATACATATGTATATATATATATATGTATATATATATATATACATATGTATATATATATATATATATATATATATACATATGTATATATATATATATATATATATATATATATATATATATATATATATATATATATATATGTATATATATATATATATATATATATATATATATATATATATATATATATATATATATATATATATATATATATACATATATATATGTATGTATATACTTATATATACACTTCTTTTTGATCATTAACAGGAACATTGTAAAAATCAACATTTTTGGAGACAAATTTAAATTCAAAAATTTTTTATGAAAACTTTGTTTCAAATTTTACTCCTAACCACACATTTAATTTGTTTTTGCATCAACTTGACCGTGGCTTTTTACATTTTAGATCAACAACAAAAATTATTGTTTCAATAAACTTTTAGATGAAAACGTTAATTTAATAGTTAAATAAAGTAACAAATTTTAATTATAGTTTTAAATAAAAAAGATTAAATATAAAATAAAGAATATTTTGAAAAATTGTTTTTGATTATGTTTGAATACAATTTCATTAATGATTTAATTTTATGATTAACTTTCTATTTCAATGAGTATGCCTTATATTATAAAAACATAAGAAAAGATCAATGTTTTAAAGATATTCAACCTTGACTAAATTATAAGCATAATTAAATAATTTTCAACTAAGTTGACTTTTTTTTTTAAAGTGTAGTTTTTATTATTATTTTGTTTATAGTTTAATGCACATCTTACTGAATGGCTTGGTTCTAGTGTCAGTGACTCTGTAGGCATAAAGGACCAAAATTTTTGCCTTTTCAATCTCTAACACGAATAGACAACTTTCAAAACTCGCTTTCAAGACAATCCAAATCATTTACCTTCTCTACTCAATTTATATCATGTTTCAGATCCTAGTCAATGCTCAGTTTCTCTGCATTCACCATTAGATGCTTCTGATTACGGATTAATTATTCAAAAACTATTATCTCATACTTCTTCATCAATAGAAGGCCCCATTCATTGTACTTCCATTCATTGTACATCTTACAATTACCTTGAAGCCAACTGAGACTCTTTTTGTGATTTTCTTTGTGATGGCTCTTGCTTAGAAATCTTTCATCTTCCTACTGACAATGTAACTTCTTGGATTCAGGCATGTATGGAATATTTTATTCTCTCAAACCAATTCCAGATCAAGTCTCAATCTTCTAAATGGTTAACCCCTCATTAAGCTTCTACAATTTCCAGTATCGACCATTTCTTCCAAATCTATCACCAAAACAATTCTCCAGAAAACAGATGAGAATAGTGGGTTTTGTCTAATGCCAAAACCCACTATTCTCAGGTCACAAAATCTTGTGCTTCATCTCAAAAAATAGACTCCAGAATCTTTAACAGTGTTCATAATAAGGGCAAATTTGTCTTTCCTCCTCTCTTGCAGAGTTGAATTCAAAAAAGTCAATTTTTTGCTAAGAACTTTTTACCAATCTTATATCTTGATTCCTTTAACCACATCCTACTTGATATAAGAAGTGTTGCAGAAGAGTTTTCAGGAGCTGTTGTCTATACTTTTAAAACTACTTAAAAAGTGCTTATCAGTGTTTTGTTTTTCAGCATGCTGGAAAGCAGAATTTCTAATCCCCATTTTAAAAATACTGGAATGCAATCTGACCTGGCTAACTACCGTCCAATTAGTTTCCTACTATTTTAAGCAAGGTTTTTAAGTCTTTGATTAACAAACACTTAATCTCCCAACATAAATCTAAAAATTTACTTTTGTAAATATCTTATTGTTCAACTGGTGATTTGTTAACGGAAATAACTGATAGGTTTTATTGTGCATTAGATAGCTGTGGAAAGGTTATGGCTATCGCTCTTGACATTTCTAAACCCCTTGATAAAGTGTGGCATGCTGGTCTTCCCCATAAGCTCTCTTTTTATAGTGTATTAGGTGACATCTTCTAGACTAATGAATCCTTTCTTACAAAATGTAGTATAAAAGTTGTCTTAGATGGACAGCACTCCTCTTCATTTCCTGTAACATCAGGGGTTTCAAAGTTTGATCTTTGGCTCAAAAAATTTTTCAATTTACATCAAGGATCTCCAAGAAATTCTCAAATCTAAGGTAGCATTGTTATCTGATGAAAGTCCATTTATTCTAGTCTTGAAAAGAAAGCCAACACTCTCTGATTGTTTGAAAATCAGATTTGAGCTTGAAAAGGATCTCAATTCTGCTTCAGCATAGGGCTCTTAGTGGCTAGTGAACTTTAACTCAGATAAAATCAATTTTTTTCAGATAAATATTATTATGTACTTGATTAGTTATCTACCCTTCGTCTTCTTGGATTAACTCTTACTTCCAAGCTTTAATGGAAACCATATATCAAATCATTGCAAAATTAGTATCTGCTAAGGTTGCTTCTTTTTATGATGCTTGTTACTTTCTTACTTAGGATTCTATTCTTTATCTTTATAAATCTTGAAATCGTCCTAGTATGGAATACTGTTGCCGTATCTGGAGTGGATCTTCCAATGATGCCCTTTCTCTTTTAGACAAGGTGCAAAAACACATTGTAAACATAGTTGGACCTGCTCTTGCAGCCAACCTCCAACCATTATCACATTGCCATAATGTTTTTCTTTTTTCTATAAATACTATATTAGGCAATGCTCTAAAGAGCTAGTGTCTTTTGTTATCTACTTAAAATCATTCTCATGTTACTCATCATTTAATTGTTTAATCCTTTTACTGTGACTGTTCCTAAGTGCTCAAAAAATTCTTATTTGTCTAGTTTTTTTCCTCAAACATCAGTTCTTTATTATTGGCTTCCTTCATTTTGTTCTCCTGATTCATATAATTTGCAATCTTTAAAGCCATTATCTCAATCATTATCTTATCCTATAAACTTTATCTTTTTCCAGTAACTTCCAACTCTAATATTGGTTGCTTAAAGCCTTGTTGAAAATGAAGATGTCAAAAATAAAAAATCTCCTTCTATAGTTTGAATCCATAAGTTATATAATTGCTTTCCTAAATTATAAAAAGACACTAAATGAAGTGAGCTCCTGATAAAAAACAGTTGAAAATATTTAAAGGTTTAGTGGTTGCAGATATGCCTTTACAGTAACGTGGGCTTAAACATGCTTTTTCGATTGTGGAGTTATTATACTTTTGTATATAATATAGAAACACAAAAATAAAAAAACTGATTATTCAATACTATCAGCATCAGTCAATGGTTGCCATAACCAAAGTTGATGCCGATGCATCGGCTAAATGGTTGATACATCAGCAGGCCGATCCTGATGCTAATGCATCGGTGCACCCCTAATATATATATATATATATATATATATATATATATATATATATATATATATATATAAATATATATATATATATATATATATATATATATATATATATATATATATATATATATATATATATATATATATATATATATATATATATATATATATATATATATATATATATATATATATATATATATATATATATATAAAAGACTATTTGGTAATTTAATGAAAAATTGTACTAAGTCTAAAACAATATAAACATATAATGTGTATTAGATAATAAGAAATTTATTACCTGGACTTCTACTAACAATGTTCAAATTTCTGATAAACCCAGGTTGAGCTGCCAAAAATGGATCAGAAGTGTAAACAAGCACATTAAAAAACCTTATTGGTTGAGTAACAATAGTTGTATATTCAGTGCTTTGATTCATATAAACAGTGTATTTATAAGTACCATTGAAAAACCTTTGAGATAATTTTACTGCTACCCATTGTGCCAAAGGAATAGGTGTTAATGAGTAATATTGCTTAGACGAATTATTTATTGCAAAATTAAATACAAGAACTCCATTACCATACTTACCCATTGCATAACTATAAAAGTCTACAAATGGATAATTGTCTCCGTGTTTATTACTTCCATTTGTAGTTAAATGTAAAACATTTTGTATGCCAAATACGTACGATGTTATTTTTAAATCAAATAATATAGCATATTCTTCAAAAAATACATCCAAAGCTCCAGAAGAAAGTCCTTTTATCAGTGCAGTTTCACGACCCATAAACATAGCATCTATACAAATGTATATCCATAATACAAAGTATGAATAAAAAAAAAAAAAAAATATATATATATATATATATATATATATATATATATATATATATATATATATATATATATATATATACATATATATACATATATATATATATATATATATATATATATATATATATATATATATATATATATATATATATATATATATATATATATATATTTCAAAGGCTATTCTAGACCCTTTTCAACAGAGTTGAACACACTTAGGTGACACTTGGGTGAATTCGGGCACTGCCCGAATTCAGAAAATGAGGACTTTTTTTTTTTACAGCAAATATTGATTTCATGCATAAAATGCCTACATACAACAATGTTTCCGCCAAATTTTTTAATGGCAGGCACTACCACAAGAGTACAACCCAATGTAAATATATATGTGTATATATGTTAAATATGTTAGTGTACCCTACAAAAAAAGTGCTTAATGTTCTCAAAAACAGAGCAGTTATATAAAAAACACTACTCTAACTTTTTCTTTAACAGCCAGCTTCTCCTTCAACAAGATCAACAGGAAGTCTTAAATTTTCACAGGAAGCTTTACATTGTTATAATAAATTTTTTAAAAACTGTTTATTTTTCTTAATACAGCTAAAAAACTTTCAAAATATTTATGAAAAGAACTTTTCAGAAGAATTTTAGTTTGGTCATTTCTAAATGACTAACTTTTCATTGGTCATTTAGAAAATAATTCTGATTGTTTATTTAAAAAACTTTTTTTAAGGCTCTATTCCCATAAAATGAGGGTCAAATAATAGCTGTATTGCTAAAATTTGAAATAAATAAACTATGCATATTTTGAGTTTAAAATCATACTTGTTTTTTTCTTGGCTTATTATTCAGTTTTTTCGACTTGAAAAAAGTTTGTACGTTTTGTGGTTATATTGAAAAATCTTTTTAAATATAAATTTATTTGAGACTTTTTTTGATAAATTTTTAACTATTTTATTATTAAAAAATTTGAGTAGGCTGTTACTTTAACAAGTTATCTACTCATGATGTTAGGATATTTCTTCTCCTTCTCCTCCCCGCATCCCCCACACACAAACTCACACACATTTCAGACACACCTTATTTTGTAGCCTTCTGAAAGTTTAAAGATATTCTTGTAAATTGAAATCAAAACTAAACAAAAGTTTTATAGTTTCTTTAGGAATACAAAAGAAACAAAAGACATTTCTTTTAATTAATAATGCTCTTTAAACTAATTTTTAAGCTCCTTTTAGTCAGCCTGAGCTTTTTCTTGATTTTTTTCATGACATAAAATCTTTATTAAAACTATTTAATGCAAATATAAAGTATGAATACTTAACATCAAAGGGGACATCCATAAAATATGTATGCAGTAAATCCACTGATTTAGGATCCCCATAACCCTTGTATGCATCTGTATGCTTTGAATACCCTTCCCGCTGCATACATACGCATAATTGTTACATAATCTTCCTCTTTCCTTCCTTCCCCAACCTAAAATTTTTCAGAGCATTAAAATCAAAATACTTTCAATAAGTTCAACATAAAGTTGAATAACATTATGTTCTTATAACATAAAGTTGATTTTTAAAACCCCTGAACCTCAATGCCTTTGTTTAAAAATATATATAAAAAGTTTCAGGAGATATCTTAATTGGCGAGATAGTAAAATCTCATAACATTAATACACTAAGTTATTATCTTAACAACTAGATTAAAAAATCTAGTTGTTAAGATATCTGTTGATTAAAAAATCTTGTTGTATAATAGCTTAGTATAATAAAGTGCTGAACAAAGAAATAATGCATGGTGAATTGCAACAGGTTTTTTAACTTTAATAAATTCTGAAAAATGGTAGATAAATAATAACAAACTTTGTCTTCTCTTTCAAACCTTTTTGTCTTCTCTAACAATACCTTTTTTTACTACTCCTGACCTCTGTATAAGACTATATAACTACTCTGTATATATATATATATATATATATATATATATATATATATATATATATATATATATATATATATATATATATATATATATATATATATATATATATATATATATTGATATATATGTATATATTTATATATACTTATATATCTCCCACTGATATATATACTATATATATATACTTTTTTAATAAATACTCTTACTCAGATAATTAGTCGTCTTGATTGAAAAAAGGAGTCAATTGAAAAAAGCCTTGTCAAAACCAAATTTATGAGCAATGACAGTGCAACCAGCTTTTTTTTTTTTTAATATAAGTAAGAAAGTAGTAAACACAATAAAGAGATGCAACCTTAGCAGATGCTAATTTTGCAATGGATTTGATAAATTGTTTCCAAGAATGGTCGAAGTAAGAGTTAATCCTAGAAGGTGAAGGGTAGATGACTCATCGAGTCCATTACCATAAACAAATATAGGAAGATCTAGGTTATTGCAATAAGGATTAGCTGAAAAAATTTTTCATCTGAGTTAAAGTTTACCAGCCACTGAGGGTTCCATGCTATAGGAGAAGTGAGATCTTTTTCAAGTTCAAATGGACCCTCCAAGCAATCAGAGATTGTTGGCTTCTTATCAAGACAAGAATAAATGGTAGTATCATCAGCAAACAATACCACTTTAGATGTGAGAAATTCAGGGAGATAGTTAATATAAATTTAAAAAAGTACAGGGCCAAGGATAGAACCTTAAGTAACCCTTAAATACAAGAAATGAAGAAGAGGACAACTTTTATATTACTTATTATAACTTCTATATTAAGGATTTAAAAAAAAAAAATCAAAAATATTAAAAAATTGCATGTCTCCTAAATTCAGCAACAGAGTTTTTCCTCTCTATGTCAGCATTCGTAGGAGCAAGATGAAGAACTACTTTCAACTTTTAGCAACTTAAAAGCAAATTTTTTTACTAATATATTTTTTCTGCTTCAAAATATTTAAAGTCATAGCAGGTGCTGTTCTAAGCAAGGAAGTGTACACTCTGAGCTAAATTAGCAAATGATTGAAATAAGTGATGGCTTAGGGTATCACATTAAATTAGGCTTATTTAACATTATATGATGCTTAAAAAATCATAAAAACTTTTTTTACAAAAATTCAAAAAACTGCAGAAAGTTTGGTTTTCTCTACAGTTCAAATGATAACATTTGATAATGTTTATGATTGATAGAATAAACCTAAAATTGAGGACAAAGCAATCTTAAAGAAATTATAATGTAATTCCTAATTACTACACCTTACTGGTACCACAAAGAAACACAAGTTAATAATATGTAAGTAAAGCTATTGTATCAAGACCATATCTGTGGGATATGTCATTATATTAGATAAGAAAACAATTGGTCATTATATGACATAATATTAAAAAAGAAATTTAAATAGAACATCTAATTTATTAAAATATATGTTCTGTAAGAAAATTTTAATATATACAAGTTGACAAAAATGTATTACAAAATATTATAAAAAGATAAAAACATGGGAAATCTTCTCAATGATCCTGATTTGTGTTTAATAACTAGAAAAGCCCAACAAGAAGCTGCATTGAGCTGCAATTACTATTCATGTCAAAATGTTGTTCTAAAACAACATTAACATGGATAAGATCATCAAGATGAAATGCTAACATACATGCCTTTTTAAGGTGCCCTAATAAACAGTTGACTTAAAGAGCATTGAAGTAATGAAAAAGCCTAGTTATGGGAGGTGGTTATGCTGGTTACGCTGGTAACACAACTCTGGTGGTTTCTGTAACACAAACTCTTTCTGTTTAGTGTTTGGCTTTTCATGAATTATTTGAGACTTTTGGGTTGCCAAACAATGGCAATTATTTAGAAATTTTAGAACGTATAGCAAATATTGATCTTGCAGAAAAACCATATACGGGTCATTTGGTTGGCATCTGATTCTTTAAAGCTTAAAAAAAAAGCAGTCAACATCTTCAGTATTTTACAGCACATACACGTTTTCTTTTCAGCTTCTACACACCATTAGGTAATCTTTTTTTTCTCATTTGGATGATTCAGATGTTTTAGATTGCCTTTCAGACACATGATAAGCCAATGCTAAATTTCTGCAATAAAAAAAAAAAGAGTATTGGACTATTCCACGTTGTCACAGCATGACATTTGACTTTTTTGGGGGGAAAAACATCTGATTTTAATGCATTTAAAAAAAAAAAATACAAAAGTTAAAGATACTAAAAAATTTTCATATTCATTACAGTTTCTAAAAACAAAATTATTTAGTTTTAATATTTTATAGACTTTTAGGTATATGCATTAAAAGGTTGTGTCATGGCATGACAAAAATTATCTAGCATTTTCCATCATTAGAAGAAATGACAGTAGCTCAGCTCTTGTGGATATTTTGAAATATTTTTTTGTTATGTCTTGGATACTTAAAAAGTGTTATAATAGTTTCATAATATTTTTTAAATGTTTTATAAATTTAAATGGAGACACCACATAAATAAATCAACAGAATTTTGTACGGGTCACACCGTGATGTCACGGTGTGACCAGTACAAAATCTTTGAATATTAAGACAATAACATCATCAAAAAGACAGTTAAAACAAAAGAAACCAATTTATTCGAATTTTTATAAGATTGATATAACAATAGCGTTTAACAAAACAGTTTATTTACAATAATTTCAAAAAAAGTCTTGTAAAATTTAACTACGTTTTTTTATCTAGTTAACTAAGTATGATGCACTTATATAAGGTTTCATTTCCATTTTATTATTAAACTGTTTTAAGAATAGGCACTAAATATTCCAGGCGTTTTACAAGCATTATTAATGATGTTTCCAAGTTTTGTGCCATAAAAAGCAGTCTTAATTTTTTCAGCAGCAACCATGAAAACGTTTACTTGACTTTCATCTCTGATGGCTTTATAAAATGCTGTTGCGTCATTAATCAGAGCTTCTCTTCGAACAATATAATGAGTTGCATATCTTTTTATAGTTGCTC